CAGTGCTGACGGCGTCAGTAATGCAGGCAGTAATTGGCAGTGCAGGCAGCTTTGGCAGTTCAGGCGGTGTAGGCAGATGATTAGCATAGATGTAGCGTGCAGGTGTAGGTGCCGCCAAAAAGAAGGAGCGCATGCGCAGACGAGAGAAGATAAGGCCAGGACAAGATGGATGACCAAAATCCAGGAAACTTCCGCAAGGCTCACCAAGAAACTACGTCCACAGAAGTCGTTCACAAAAACGAAATAGCTACGACTCCACCACTACAGGGTCAAGAGAAGAGAGCGCTTGACAAGAGGCTGCAACAAAGTCGCCCCGGAGGGCAGAAAGCGGCAGAAAAAAGAGTGGAAAGCGGAGCAGCAAACACACGTCAAAACAGAGATACTCACGTGACGAGAGAAAGAGAGAGAGAGAGAGAGAGAGAGAGAGAGAGAGAGAGAGAAAACGTCATTTATTTAGCGCCCTGGGAATAAAATTCCCCTAAAGCGCTTTCTCATATTTACATTACCAATCATAATCATTACACGAGTTGATCATATAAATTCATACAATATGAAAAGAAAAACAAAAATAAAATGAAAGTAAGAATAAAAATTAAAAATAAAAATAACAAGATAAATTGAACAGCTGTCAAACAAAATAAAATAAACAGATCTGTGAATGACTAGTACATCCACAAAAATGTGCACGCCTTCCAAAAATATATATACCAGTCTCAGCCCGCAAGAAGCAGATAATTGTACAATTTGCGCTTAAAGATATACACACTAGATGCATTACGTGTCAGGAGGTACTCTATTCCAAAATTCCGCCGCTGCGCTTTTGAAGGATCTTTTATAAAATTCCGTACGACATGCTGGTAGTAACAAAGCATCAGCTAAGGCTCTAGTATTTCGCGCGACCACATTTTCTCTAAAAGTAAAGCCATTGTACAGTTCAGATGGTTCCCCAGTACCCAGGATGGAGAATAGTAGACATCCCATAAAGTAATCCCTTCTAGGTTTAGCTCTCAGCCAGCTGAGTTTCTTGTAATAGGGTGTTATGCGTTCATCCCATTTTGCTTAAAAAAGAAATATGAAGCGTACGCATCTATTTAGCGCTCTCTGTAGCCTCAAGTCTTGGGTGCCCGTGATGTCGGTAAGCACTACGCAACAATAGTCCATCAAGGGAAGAATCAGAGTTGAGACCAACCTTGCGCGCATGGAAGGTGGGAATAGAAATGTTTGCAGAACTTAAGCTAATGAAGAGCAGCATTCGTCTTGAAAGTAGTCCTTGTCACTTGTTTTTCCCACGAGAGAGTACTCGATATTGTCAATCCCAGATATACCACAGAGTCCCTAAAAGGTACGGGATTACCCTCAACCATGATCCCAGGTAATTCCTCCCAATTGATGTTGTTGACGTATCTGGCAGTACCAAGGATTATTGCAGATGTCTTTCCTGGA